AGATGTGTATAAATGTAATGTGTGTATGTGTGTTCTACTATTTCTAGTCAAAACTTCCTGAAATTGAAATCAGTCTTTCTTAATTTTAATCGACTGTGTCTTGTCTTCAGCGAGTATCCTACGCTCCTTCAGTTTCTTATAGATTTCAATATTTCCCATTCCTGCATCTTTAAGCTCAGACCGTAAGATTGTGTCGTCCTTTGAGAGCTTTGCAGGTAAAGAGTGGAATATATGCCTATTTGTTGAAGTGAACGATGCAATATCGTTCACAACTTAATTTTTAATTAGCGAAGTGCATAAGCAGATTGCTTTAATTAATGGCCTGTGATAGCGTATTCTTTTTGTGTAGGTGTATATAACCCATTAAGAAGTTCGTGTTTCGTTCCAAAGGGTGAATGTGGGCCTGAGATTATGTATGACGTCAGCATGTGAAAATGATAATAATAATAATAATAATAATAATAATAATAATAATAATAATAATAGTAGATGGATTTATATAGCGTAAATGAAATACCATATTAAATGCAAGAATGTTATCATTGAAGCTTGTGCAGGACAATTGCTTTATACACTTTAATTTAAAAAAAATAATATACAGATTGAATCGTGTTTTGATTTATTTTCAAAAGTATACCAAGAGTTTTTGAAAAATGTTTATGTCTGAAACTTCTAGTTTGGAAACATTATGAATATATCATGCAAATAATTATTTTGTACCCAGGAAAATTGAATTAATCATTTAAATGATTGATTATTTACGTTAAAAACCAAAGAAACGAAGAAAATACCAGCGTAGTGCCACGCGCTTGAGAAATATCTGGCTTCGAGACTACTTCTATTGTCGTCGTAAAAGCATTGAAATTGTATTCCTCTTGAACGTACATGTTATGCCTTACATTCAAAAGAAAACAGCCAGGTCATATATTTTGACTTAAAGTACCTTTCATATTTTATAAATAGAATAATTTATTTGAATTAACGTTTCGATTCATTATTTCAGCTAAATTAGCTTCTCGTTAACGTCGAGATATTGCTCTACTTTAAAAGAAGGTTAGTAAACATCAAGACCTTTTTTCTGCAAACTCTATAAAGAATACAGTGAATTTGGCATCTTGTTCTTTTTACATTATATTTTTTGATGTTGATTTATGTTTTTGCTGTTCGTAAGGCAGTTCTATGTAGTATGTATACGACAGTTTAGGAACTTTTTAATTTATTTCTTACTTTAGGCCTAGATAAGTTTCACCAATCTTTCTAATAAGAAATCAAATAACTTTTAATGAGAATAAATGATAATTAATCTTATTTGATTCAATACAAATAAGTGAACAAATTCCTATTCAATGCGCTATTCAATAACAATAGGAATACTTTTCCTATTAAAAATGCTATTGTAATTTTTATATTTCCAATAAAACATTTTATAGGAGTAACTGATAGAAATTCAAATAGGACTAAATAGGAATAATTCTTACAGGATTCAATTAAATTTCTTATTTGATTCAATTTCATACCACTGATTCAAAATTAAAACATTCCAATACAACTGAAATTGGAATAAGTATAAGAATTCATATAAGAGTCAGTAACAATCACTAATATGAATTTATATATTACATTAAATAGAAATAAGTTATATAAATTCTTATTGGATTTAATAAGGTTTCTAATAAGAAATCCAATAACTTTTAATGAGAATAAATGGTAGGAAATCTTATTTGATTCAATGGCAATAAGTGAACAAATTCCTATTAGTTTTCAATAAAAATTTAAATGGTTGGCCTATTTTATAAGAATAAAACGAACATAAATCGTATTCAGATTTTATAAAATTTCTTATAAAAAGTTATATTTATAATAAGTAAAATTATTTCCTCTTGGATTCGCTAAGGTTCCCAATAAGAAATCAAGTAGAATATAATTATAATAAAATAAGAAATCCTATTTAATATTGTTAATTAAAAATAAAATGAAAGAATATAATCTTATACCTGTAAAACAAGAAATTATAAGTAATCTTATAAATATAGGCCTATATTAAATGTAACGGGAAAAAATAAGAATCAATAAAAGAATGGAGGTATTATAGTGATACTATAATACCTCCATGATAAAAGTGATTCACAAAAGGTTTCTACAGGATTAAAAGGGTTCTCCTGGGGTATTACTTTTTTTTACTAATTTTAATATTCTCGTATGAATAATAATATAAGACATTTAAAAGTATCATGACAATTACCACATACATGCAAGTGGACTATGTAATCATTCAAGCAGAAATATTTGTTATGTAACTTCTACTGTATGTCCAGAGAGACTTAAGATAAGATTCCATACTTCTGATTGGCTGTTTCCTTTGTAGCCAGTAGATCAGATCAGGAAGCTTTGTTTCAAAATCAAAAGCATGTTTACAGTGGCTGATTTGTATTGTAGCATTTCAACAGTATCCACCGTGCACACGCATTGCCGTTTAAAAAGGTAAGATATATATTAATTTCTGATGTCAGGTTCAATTAAATAAGAGAATATGCTCTATTCTGCTCTGCATTAAGCAAGGCAATCAGCACAAGCATGCATGTGTTTTTCGAAAGTAAATTCGGAAGTGTTCTATATAAATTTTACTTTGTATTCGTTTCTGTTTCAGATTATTAGGCTCTTCATAGGAGGATGAGTGTTTGATTTGATTATTATTTATGGTTTTTTTACGATTGTTATTGTTTTGAAATTAGTTTAAATTTTAGCATTTTTAGGTACAATTATTATGTAGTGTTGTATATTTATAACCAATGTTTTTTTTTTCTTGCAGTTCCCAGAAGTAAAGTGATGTGTACAGCTACAGTATCTATAGGCCTAGTAGTATTAATTATCGAATTTCTGAATGTTTCTAAAGGGAGGCCGCATAAATTAGGCAACACATTTATAACTTAATTTTAAAATGTCAAATACGTAACCAATTCATATCTTAATTTTAAAATAGAGCCTATAGCTTTGAACATAGGCCTACTGCATAATTTGATAAGATATTTGGTGTTTATTGCGATCGTGTTACATTTAATAACGTATATCATCATCTTCATCATCACCACCATCATCATCATCATCGTCATCATTATGTAACCAACAACATATACAAAATACACAATTAATTTCATATGAAAATTAAATTTATTGCTGTAATTAACTGCATATGAAATACAACAAAGTTACTTTCTATTTACATATCTGTACATCTTCATCATCTTTTTGTTATTCAAGTTAATTACATAATTGTTTCAAGATTTTTTTTATCATTATCATCATTATCTTATCTGTATTATCGAATTATTATCAACCTCTAATCCAGATCGCGGATATTAGCGACATAGCTGAGCGTTCGCCAGAGCGGTAGTGCTCCCATAAGTCCATCGTCTCCGGGTAGCCATCTTTGATGATGCCCACTGTGCTCGTGTAGCATCCTCTCTGTAAACTAGTTCCGCAGTTATCTCCACGTTCAGAGACTCATGATGAAGTAGTTTTATCATAAGATACAACTGGACCTTTGCTAAAAAATATAGAGAAATATAAAGATTACTTATTGATAATTATAATAGTTGCCATCATTTAATTAGTCGTTCATCACCATATTAGTTGTCCATCCGAGCATAACAATAAAGATAAATAAATTCCAAGTACAAGAACATTAACTAATAATAAATTAATTAAATACTTACCATGTCGACTCTTTCGATTAAGCCTAGTTGTTATGATATCCGTCGAGGTCATTGTTTGTTCTTGTTTGCTGTCCGTAAATCGACCAGTCTGTTGGTGAAAACGTGTTCCCGACTACCCATGTTGTCCACATGTACATCATCATTTATCGGATCGGCGGTGTGTTTCCAGCATTCCTCTGTAGGTAATGGAATACTGGTTCAATGCGCTCGATCGGTAATAGCGGCAAAGCCATCAACTGTTTCACCAACTTAACAGAAAAAACGAAAACATACAATACAACGCAATCACTTACCTGTGTGTGTACTAGCATCCTGAGCATAGGCACGCTGTAGACCAATCTCCTGCACCATCTTGTATACCCTCTGCAAAAATAAGCATAGATCAGTTAATTTTGACAGAAATTTTTGAAAAAATATATATATAAAAGAAACCGACTTTAAAGGTACGTACCTGCGTAAAATGGAATAAACATCCAGTCGTCGTTGCACCTGGCAAAATCCATGATGGCTTCTAGAACAGCAACGTAGTCGTTTCGGCTCCTGCCAGACATCATCACGAAAACTAATGGAACCTGTTTGATGCAACGTCCAGATGTTACGAAGCTGTGAACACTAAAAAGCTGCATGAAGGGCGCCTTTACTAACTTAGTAGCATCCACGTACCTTTTAAACTGGAACTAAAGATTGGCGATATATAAGGTCCAACTGAAAGCATTTTATTAGGTAGGACATAAATTAATGAGGTAACAGGAGTGCTCCGACAAAATTTTGATTGCCATATATTAGATTACATGCGTTTTTATTTTAACAATATATAATTTGAAAACTGTATATTTGCAATACTTTTTTTCCTTTATTTTCATCTTATTATGACTTGCTAGGAATTTTTGTCTCCACCATAATGGCAAGTTGTAATTGTCTTCATGCTGACCTAGCTGCTGGCTGCCTCTCATCAAACCTAAAGTTTATTCAAAGGTAAATTCAAGTTTTAATATTATTTAATTGCATTGTAACTCTCTGCCATACCTTTAAATTGAACATTAGAATTTTTAATTTATATTTTTTAAATGTAATCTTTTGATTTTAGGGATATTCAACATTACAGTATATAACCTTAAAAGAGGTCTATATCCCGGTTGATCATCACATTAATATCCTTAAACGAGGCCTATTCCCAGATGATATACAGATTATGTCTAAGATGTATTCATGATATACCGTACCATGCACATCCTAATAAATTATAATGTAGGCCTATATATATATATATATTCTTATTATAATAATTTATATTCTTTATATTTTTCTAAATTTATTACTCTGTTCCTGGAGAATTATTTTGAGCTCTGTTTCATTTAGGGACCACTGTTTTTATCCTTAAATGTTACTTTTAACTTCAAAATGAATAAATAAAATTAAAATATATAAAAGTATATAATATACATTACTTTTATATATATTATAACTCTTAATAATTCACTCTAAAACCAAAAAATAAAAATATAAATAAATTGGATTTAAATTATTATAAATTAAATTATAAAAAAATAACACAAATTTATAACTACTTTGCATTTGATATGTAATAAAATAATTTTTTTAATATTTTTTTACAAACAGGTGCTTTGTACGAGCTTGTAGTTATGATCAGAATATACCCAGTCAAAGGCTTGGCAAGGAAAGAAAACTCGTTCATAAAACAACATCCCAAACAATGACCGCACAGTAAGCAAACATTAGACCGTAGCGGCAGAGTCTTATCACACACAAGTTATGGGTCGATATTATAAATGATTAAATTTCAATAGAAATATATTTAACAGTTATATATACAATATACACCAGCAAATTTTTAAAGCCCTTTCAATTATTTTTTTTAAACCAAAAAATATATAGCTGTGTATACGTTACTAAACAAATTTTAATGTTTTTTAGTGACTGAGTGATAATATATGCCTATAGTTATAGTAACAATCGAATTAATTTTGTGAGTATATAAAAAAGTAATAAGGATTAGTCAAAAATTATACAAGCATGCATGTATAGCTATAAAAATATATAGCACGTCACTAAAATAATTTTAATGTTTTTTAGTGACTGAGTGATAAATGCTTTATGCCTACTGTATAGTTATAGTATCAATCGAATTAAGTTTTGCGAGTATATAAAAAAGTAATAAGAATTATTCAAAAATTGTACTTGTTAATGTTTAAGTACATGCATTTACAATATCACTAATGTAAAGTACATGTATTTGTATTATATATTTCATTTTTAATTAGTGTTATACTTGTTCATTTTAGTTCATATTTAGGTATTCTTATGTGATTTATGTGTATTGCAAATTATTTAATGAAATATGTAGCGAAATAATTTATATTATGTAATAATAATTAAGTCTTAAAATAAACAGTAATTGATTGCAATATGATTTCTTGTTTCCTTATTTCAGGTTTATTGCCTATGTATATTTCCATTGAAACCTACCACATGAATTTCCTACAGAAATTTGGATAGAAATTTCAATAGGAATGATGTACTCTGTTCTAATAAGAATTTATATTAAATGTATTTAAATTTACCTGTACTAAAGAAAATCTTATTGGATCTGTACCAATTTCTAATAAGATTATTTAGAAGTCCTGATAGCTTCCAAATTTAATATAAATTCTTATGGGATCTTGTATATTATGCCATTTATAATACAGTCCTTTAGAGTTCCCTATAGTAATTCAAATAAGAATTACAATAGAACAATCTATAGAATCCAATAGAATTTCCCAATAGAAATATTTAAAATTCTAATAAGAATACAGTATTTATAAACTATCATAAAACGTCATATAGGATCCAATAAGATATTGGGCCAATTTCCGATAAAATCTTATATAATTTCCAATAGCAAATCATATAAGAATTACATTAGAACTATGTATTTTGTTTGTTTTATTTGGTACTCACAAAGTATACATACAAAATATAAATACCAGGATTCATACAAAATATAAATCCAGGGTATTGGATCTAATAGTAATTCTTAATAGAAATATATTTAAAATTCTTATACGATCTAATAAAAATTGTAATAAGAATTCTTATAGGATCTAATAGCAATCCCTGATAGAAATATATTTAAAATTCCTATACGATCTATTAAATATTGTAATAAAAATTCTTATTGTATCTTATAGCAATTCCTAATAGAAATAAATTTAAAATTCGTATATGATCTAATAAACATTGTAATAAGAATACTTATTGGATCTTATGGCAAATCCTAATAGAAATATATTTAAAATTCTTATATTATCTAATTAGTATTGTAATAAGAATTCTTATAGGATCTTATAGCGATTCCTAATAGAAATATATTTAAAATTCCTATATGATCTAATATATATTGTAATAAGAATTCTTATTGGATCTTTAAAATTTCCAATAAAAAGTCTTATTTAACATCTTATAAGATATTGGGCCAATTTCCGAAAGAGTCTCATAGAATTTCCTATAGCAATTGAAATAAGAATTACAGTATGAATCCTATATATTTTTCTAATATGAATTTCAATTGGATATTTTCGTAAGAGAAGGTAGCACAGAGCAAGATCATAAGTAATATAATTGGGGCCCAGGATGATTCTAAAAGCCCTCTTTTGTACTCGTTCAATTTGATGACTATGACGTCGAGTGATGGCTCCCTGCATGCATATTATAATAAGGGGCGTATGTAGCTAAGGTAAACACACGTTATATAATCTATGGGAGCTTTGGCTCTGCGCAATATACATAGCGTATATAGTCGTCGAGATGCCTTGCTAATAATATAGCTAACATGCAAATCCCATTTGAAGTTGTCTCGGATGGTAACACCTAATAATTTCATATATACCACCAAGGGAGAATATAGGGGAGGAATTTCTCTTAGCAGGAAATTAATTCTCATTATATTACTTAGTGGCATGGCCGGCGGAACCGGGGGGTGGCTTTTTGGCAGAAAATATATAATGTCTGGAGGTGTTTGTATGATCGGAAAGAAACCCAAGAAAAGAAAGTGGGAAGAAGGAGGAGATAGAGGGGAAAGAGAGTGTTTATCCAGTCTCCGACCGATTTACGTTTTTTTCTTGCAATTCGCATTGGTGGATCTGGTGCTCAGGGGTCCTGACCCCCACCTCCCTTGGGCAAAAAAAAGGAATTCTAGACCTACCTTTCCAGGACCAGTGAGCTGATTTTTTTTGTTACAAATAAAAAAATAGAAGTCGGGAAAGCTCATTTCCCGACTTTTCTTCATCTAAGAATTTCACCCCTTTTTCTTCGGGGTTTATCGATTCATGGAAAAAAGAATACGCATGCAACTACATATTTTTTATGTATGTATACACACATAACAGGCCTATTTACTGTAATAAGAATGAGAAAGTTCACCTGACCGTTTTCAAAAAGGGGGGGGGGGGGCCTTGAATTTTGAAGAACTAAGTCATTAAAATACACCTTACTAAAAAGTCGGGAAAGCTCATTTCCCGTCATCTAGGAATCAAATTTCCCCCCCAACTTTGAAAAACGTTCCGTTGCCCCCCCCCCCTTTGGATTCGGGATCATATTATTCAAATGACACAAGTTCGTTATATTTTCAAGACTGGTTTGCAGGAGTTGATGGCCTCTGTATTTAGCAGTCTCATCAATCGTGAAGTCATCTAATTCCATCCACTGCAGCTTCCTATAAAGATGTCATTGACAAGGATGAGAAATGATATGGGTCCGAGGTTGGTTCCCTGTGGGAGACGCTACATGTAATTTCTTTTTAAGGAGATGTACATGGTTTAAACCACCTCCATGTTTAAACCTAGTATTCATTTTACGATTAGAAAGGAAGCTGCAGATGATGGGGATGACCTCACTCCTATATTAATTAACTTATCGATGACCACACTATGATCAACTCGATCACAAGCTTTTGAAAAATCGATGGCACATAGATTTGTAAAAGTACCAGCAGCTTCAAGCCCACTAACGACTGTGTTGATTAAATCAATAAGATAATGTGACGTCGAGGAGCCTTTTTGGCAACCATATTGTTTCACATCTAATTAATGTCCTCTGTGATCCAAGAGACAATACAAGATTCAAAAATTCTGGCAAATATTGGTGTTAAAGATATGGGTCGCAAGTCTTGCAATGATGACTGGTATGACTGTAGCAGATTTCCAAGCATAATGGGAAAACGCTCTCCTTCAGGCAGAGGCTCGTATGCAAGCCGAACCAATAACTATAGCCTTCGTTATTGATGGAGATATTGTGAACTCCCTACGGCTCTACATTTTAACGAATATTACCATAACCTACAACATTTTTGGCAGATTTTCTAATCAAAATACCCGATTTAACACTTTTACTTGAGTGGTTTTAGCCCCGTTGGGGTGATTAGATATAGAGGCGGACTTTTCATTGCATTTTCAGCACCTAAACCTGATCTGTTAGGAGGATCTACATCACTATATTTCAAAATATTAGAGAACGTGACTGGGCTTTTGTAAGGAAGATTTCATATTTAAAAAATATAAGACCAGTGTCCTAAAATGAACAGGTTTCAATACATATTAGGAATTTAAAGCAACTATCTGGCTTTTTCTACCCTCACTCACTCACCACTGAAAAAGTGTAGTCCAAAAGCTCTGGTTCTATTTCTGGCCGTTTACGGCCGTCTACTATCTGTTCCTTATCAAATTTGTATCTCTACCAAGATCCAGCCATTATTTTAAACAGCATTATTGTTTCAGTATTTTGCCTCTTAATCTATATATATTAATATGCAATCACAGCACATGGAATTTTTGGTCTATGAAGGTCAGATTCAAAATCAGGTGTTACCAGGCAAGCAATATGAAATGCAATTACAAATGTGGAGTTACATTTTGGCCTACAACTATAATACTAAACTACAATAATAAAAAAAAGAAATATACAGTAATAATATTTGAAGACAAAGTATATGCCCTACATTATATATATTCCGTTTAAATATATCTTGTAATTATTAGAATAAGCATAACTAAGTATGATAATAGGCGTAGGCTTGATAACACACGTGGGTTTGCACTACACCATGCAACAACAGTGTCACGAGTTTTGGCATCCACCTTTTAGAATTCATCATTCAGGGAGATTATATACCAAATAATATTAATAATAATGATCTTCCTCATGTATGAACCAAGGAGCTATAACGCTATAGATTGAACTGACATGACAATAATGAGATAATGATTTTGTATTTTCTTTTTTCTTGAAATGGTGGTGTTCTTGTGATTATAGGTTTTTGTATTCTATTTATTTATTTACTTTTAACAAAATTGATAACAATTTATATATTGAATTTTAGATATTTAGAATTTTCTTCTACTTGTGATTAAAATTTTGATTTTTTTTTTTTTTTTGATTTTTTTTTTTTTTTTTTGTAAATAAGAATTATATTTTTATAATTTTTTGTAAATAAATTCTAATTAATATGAATGGATTTTTGACATTTAGAAATTGCCACTTTTTGTGATTAGGATTTTTATAATGTTTTTTTTAAATAGTAATAATGAATAACAGATAATTTGTGTGTATATAATGATAATTATATTCTTAAGTTTAACCGGTTGTTTTTTGTTTGTATTTTTTCTATGACTGCCTTCTTATTGTGTCTGTGTTTTATTTCCTACTCTGAATATTTTGCATTATCCAATCTGTTATACGATTGCAGTAAGTGAGTTATGTTACGTTATGTTACACAATCATCTAAATTGTTGATATTCTTTTGTCCATTTTCATGATCAATTTTTATTATAAGAGACAGCTATCTATCTAAATGTTTACATAACGATATGCGAGATTTTTTATAATGTTCAAGATGTTGCAAACGGGAAGCAGTACAAGTAAAGTTAATATAAGCAAGGTAAAATATTAGTAGTGAGCAGCGGTAAACGTGATGATTTTGGTGGTAAACATTATTTGCTTCATTATGTCAATAATTTTTTTTCACGAATCTAACAACGGAAGAAGAATAAGACGTCTCGTACACCAATAACTTAAGGAAATAATTCCTTTACATTTCATACGGTGTTTCTATCTTCTGTTTAAAAATTAAAATTAAAAATGACGACAGCGTATCCTTAACTATCCTTCTATTAAAACAAATCCAACGCCCCAAATTGAATCTGAAATTATCCTCTACACCAATTGCCTGTATTTTCCTCTACAACAGTGCTCCGTTTTCTTTCGTAACTTCAATCATAATATTTTTCCTATCCCTTTTGCTTCCGCTTTTTCTATTTTATCTTTACTCTAAAATCTGTTTAAATTGTGAACTTTATCACTGGACCTTTTAATTAGGCCTATTA